GCTGTACAATAACCGAAAAAACTTTACGGACGAATGTTTGGAGATGAGCGATAGCGGCAGACGGTTAATAGCCGTCGAACTGTGCGATTCGAAGTGCGTGACACTGAAGGAGACCAAACTCATAAACGGTATTGCCTGTTTCATTGCAGTCATTTGTCACAGCATGAAAGAGGGCAGTTTGCAGGACTAGTGATCGGATACAACGTCATCCGCGGCTGTTTGACGACCATGTTTCGTTGGAACCCAATGAATCGATACTCGCTGGAAATAATCGCCGGCAAGTCAAAGGGTCGCTGCCAAGAGCTGAGCGCCAGTGACCTGATGCCGTCCCTTTCCAAGGTCAAAGTGCATTCGAACCCCGTTACGCTGTGCAGCTGTCTTGGTGACTTGTGCAACGGCGAAAAGTCATTTAGCTGCAGTATAAACTGTCTCCTGTTGTGCCTTATCATAGCGTTCACTTTCTTCTCGTGAGCGGTTCTGTTGCTCTTGACCAAGGACGCTGCAAACACGAAAAGTTACTAAAACAGTTTCGCAATGCTGAAGCTGCAGTCTATCTGCGAACAGAATGCTAAACCGATTATGTTGTATCCTATTTATTCGCACCCATCTGCTGAATGCAAACTGTCTCTACGTTGTTCTGTCTTTCAGCCGTGATATCAAGGGTATCATATGTTTCTGAATATCAAACAAAATTTGTATAACGGCTGAAATTTATCGGATTATAGATGGTCACAGAAATTAAGTTACTGCTCAAACGTGCATCGCTGGACATATACTTTCGCATAATTTCAATCACTAATGAGATACTGTATATTCTGAACTCTTAAATTTCTACTGATATGCATAAGTTACTGCCAGAGTGTTACTCAAAGCATGCGATACCACTTTTGGCTAATACCAGTGGCTGAATTTTTAAAGTAAACTGTGAATAGAAGTGACGTCTTTGATGTTCATACGCATAGGATAGCAGAACAGTTTCGCAAAGTACCCTGATGAAGGAAGATTTATTTCTCGTGTTGACGCAAATTGCACTGAAAAAGGCATAGGTCAAAGCTGAATTCAAAATGGTGATGTATAAAATACGTTTTGAAACGTAGTAGCTGTATTGCTTCATGAAAAACGACCTGGAAAAGTAATTTTAACAGCATTAAGGTCTAAGCACAGACACCGGATTGTTTCGATTAGGCTGCAACAGTATGGAGTCATCGTTCAGAGTGGTGATCGGTACATAGCCAGGTATGGTTATTGACTAACAGCACGTCTGAAGCACCTCTTTCTCTAATTCCATACGCAGAAGAACATTTAGGCGATTTCATAGAAAGCTGAGGCTTAATGGAAACGGCAAACGAAAAAGACTTCTAGTGCTATTAATATTGTGTGCATTTATAACGTAAGCTGGCAGCAAGCGCCGAACTAGAGGGATGAAAAATTACTTTTTTCAGAAGTTGTTTTGTCTTCCATGCGACAATGAGAAAAGTAGCGTTTATAAGGCCTCCGCTGAAATCATAAATTAATTCAGAACACCTGTGGCGTCATTTGTAAAATTGCACCTAATTTGCAGATATTGACAGGCGGGATAGTTCGGAAATTGCTCCTATTTGGCTTCCTAGCATTTTGTTAGTAAAATTTGCCCATTTTCTCATGCGAACAAGCTCTTTTAATTGGTTCATTTAAAACGGTTTTACTTTCGCCTTTCGGTCTAGCTAGATTATCAATCACTTAAGTACAGACAAGCCTGAATTTCTTCAAATAGACAAGTTCTTGAAGCGCCGTTAAATACTTTCTAGATTTTCATACTAGCTGATTGAAATCGCATGTCCTGCAGTCATAATTCATTACTGAAAGAATGAAATTTGGCTATGCAGGCATCATAACATGACCTTGATGAGAAAAAGAGAGTATAGTGTTCTCGCGAAAGCAATAACCACGAGCGACGGCGAGGACAGGCGATGATGGCTATAGCTCGAAGCGCTGAAGCTGGAAAAGGCGGAGGCGGAAAACAAAAGCGCACCACAGACCTGTTACACAACAAGTTCAATGAGCCTGATAGCCATCAGAAATGATAGGTCGCGGACTTCGCAAAGCTTTTCAATAGGCTTGATCCTCCATTAAATCTCAAAATGGGAGAGAAAGTTGGAAAACATTACATTTTGATTGTGTCCAACCACTGATTCAAGAAATCCTAGAGGAAATACGATTCTTCTGAATTCCGAAGTCCTGAGGACACGACGGGATCGAGGGAGAAATTTTGAAGTGCAAGGTGAGAACCTGTCCTGAACTCACCTGGCTTTTGTATATCTGGTTAAAGTCCTTGATCCCAAGAACTGAATTAAGGGCGTATAATTCTAATTTTGAAGAATGGGTGTCGCACCAACTGTACCAACAATTAAGAAGTCGTCATGTAACGGTGCTTGAGAAAATTTTCGTTTGAATCATTCTAGGACGACGAAGGCATTTCATCGATTATTCGTTGCGAACTAATCAAACAGGCTGTCGAACTGGGCCTTCTATGTGTCTATGTATGCATGTCACGGGCAAACCTTTCTGTTGAAGCAAAGCACCGTGCAGTCCCTCAAGCCTCAAACTTTTCTTGAACGCGAATATGGTCTTCCTGCTAGCCGTTGATTCAGTCCATTGCAAGATAATGCGGCGTGTTATTTGTCACCCCCAGATTCTAAGGGTGGTGGTAAACCTGATAGAACATCTCTTCGAGGGACGGAATGCGCGGTCCAAACTAGTACAGCAATATGAGTAGAGCTTGTCGAGGCGAAGTGCTCTCTCTTTTGTTATTCTACGTGATGACGGATTACGCTATGTGGAAGTGCGTCGTCCCAAATACCAACGAGTTACAGACTGTTAGTCAGAGATGCAGGCTTGAAATATCTGACGGTATTCCTAGCGAACCTTAAGCATGGCGATCAGTTCGTGTTGTCGAACGACTCCACATCTGGACTGCTGACACTAACTGATAGGGTGTGCAACATCGCTGAAAGAGTGGGGGAACAGGCACATGCCAAAAACATAGAGATTATGACAGCGCCCACCGCGATGGGTAATCCAAGGACATTATGGAAAGGTATTACGACTGACGAAGTCAATAATTTCAAGTACTTCAGAACTGTTTTGACTAGCGATGGCATCACTGATCCTGCAGTGAATCGGTGCACTGGCATCAGCGAATTATTTCAAGCTGTATAACATATGAAATGACTGGACTATAAAAGCGGACACGAAGATCCTCATTCTGAAAACAGCCGTATTAGCGGTGCTCAAGTAGAGTCTCCAGATATCAGTCATCCGGCATCGTCATGAAACTCGTTTAGACAGTTTCCAACAACGCTGACTGTGCATCATCCTGAAAGTGCGATGGTACCACCGGGTCATGAACGAGCAGATGTTAACGATCGGTACGAAAAATCCATCAGATGAACTCGGAT